CCATTAATAATTAAATAGGAATACATCAAAATAAAAGTTAAAAATATATAAGAATATTATAAATATTTTATTTTCAAAGTCAAGTACATTTTTATAGTTTTGAAATGATGTATTAAAATAATTGTTAACATGTACAAAAATTTAGAACATTAAAAATTTAAGTTTAATTTTTTTAAAATTTTTTATTAAGTTTTAACTACTAAAAAAATAAAATATTAAAAGTTTAAAAAACTTTTATAGGATTATGTTTTAATAAATGAAATATTTCTGTTTTTATATTATTACAGGTTTAACACAAGCAATGACTGTATTATATAATCGTTATTTTCCAAGTATTAATTATAAGTATGACAACTGTTAGTTCAATTCTCAACACCTGTACATTTGCGTTTGTTTTAAATTGTACATTTGCAAACTCTTTCTCATTGTATATTTAAGCAACAAAAAACTGTTAATATTCTGTTGATCAATTTTTAATGTGGATCAGATAATATATTTCAATGTTTAAGTAATTGGGATATTATTATTTTTGAATAATTTATGTAGAAAAAAATTTTAAATTTAGCAAATATTTCAAAATATTTCACCTTTTTTTTTAAATAAGTCTAGAATAGTAATATATGTGCTGCAGTTCTTAATGTTTAGCTATTTAAATTTTTTTAAACAAAAGTATTAAAATCTTAAAAGAACCATAACTTCGCGCATATTTTATTTAGAAAGTTTATTGAAATATAATCAACTGAGAAATTACAATCAATGCATAATAAGAAATTAAAAATATAGTTGTTAACACAAACAAAGAATAATAAAGATTAGGTATCATGAAAATACTAGGTTAATTTATGGCTATTAATCATATACTAATAAGTAACTTGTTCGTAAGGACTGTATAGTTATTGTATAGTTGAAGTTATTAAGCCAATATTATTTTTATTTCACTAACAAATGACGGCAAGTTTAAATATTTTTCTTGTATATCACAATCTACAGATTATACTTTATACCAAAACTAGAATTAATATTGATTTATTGATAAATAATATTTTATTTTATGGCTAATTGCCCATTAACATTTTTCATGTAAATGATAAAATTAGAGCATATTAAATTTCATCTCCTGGAACAAACTATCTGTAAAATACAGATTATATTTTTGTTTTATTTATGTAAATATTTAACAAATGAAATACGTAGTACTTTAAATTTTAAAAACATATAATACACAAGAAAGAAGTACGTGTAGTTAAGTAACCTTATGATTTTTAATTTACGTGGATTTATAAGAGTATGACTCATCGAATACTGTTTGTAATAGCATTCAATTCTGTGGAAAGTCATAGACAAACTTTCATGCATACAAATACATGTATATTTTTAATTTATTAAAATTGAAAATATTACAACTTTCCATTAAAATAATATTTTGATAAAAATAAAACTAACAAAATGTTTAAGTCTTATTATGTGTATATACATTTTAATATATTTTAATGAACCTGTATTTTTATTATTGATCCACCCTATTGTCAGAAATGTTTTATTTAATAAGCAAAGTTATATGTTACGATAAAATAATTACCATATTTATTATAAAATAATTATAATTTACCTAAATTGCTGTGACCTATTCTAAACCTTACTTCTTACTCAAGAAGAAGCCATGTAAACGCTACTGAATTTCATAAAAATGTACATTGAAGATTCTTTCTTATAATATACCTAAAAAAATTACAAGGATATTCAGTAAATGCTAAAGAGAGTATCAGTAGGTACATTCACAAATTATAAAATATTATGTCATAGGTACAAGCATTTTAAACCAGATTTCTTTAATAATTTAATACTTTGTTCATTTATGATTCGTTAAAATGCATAAACAGTGTAAACAGGTGTTATAGTTTGTTACAATATATTTGTATTTAGTGAATCATCTATTGCACAAACCTAAATTTTTTTTACCTAGTAACTGTCATAGAAATAAACGAAAATTTAGATTTTTTTTTTAAATCGAGAGCTGATTTTAAGATTCTTATGACGAAATGTTAAATACAATTTATTATAAAATCAATTATCGCACTAATGCCCACGTAGATAATCAATTATCAATTGTACTGAAGGACGACCACGATTTAAGATATATCTTAAATCGTTAAGAGGATGTCACACCCGCATGTGTTATCTCCGTCTGACATACGTACAACATAGCGAATTTGCGTTTAGTGATTCCAATGTAGTGATGTTAGCTTTAATATTAGAGTAAACTGACTTATAATCAAACTTCAAGGGAACATTATCTGTGTTTTTTTTGGTCCTTTTTTCCCGATATTTAAATTTTTTAGCGAGTTATAATGTTTTTTTTAATGTTTAATTTTACATACTTATAACACACTTAAAAATTAAAATATTGGAAAAAATCGACCAACGAAACACAGATAATGTTATTCCTTTAAAGTTTGATTATAGGTCAGTTTACTTATTAAAGCTATATATTAAAGCTAACTTCACTACATTTGAATCACTGAACGCAAATTTGCTATGTTGTACACATGTTAGACGGAGAAAACACATGTGGGTGTGACGTCCTCTTAAGAAGAGTAAAGGTGGATAAGGGTGGATAAGCGGTAATACTAAAAACCTAAATACATGATGGGGAGGAGGATGTAATAACAGTTATAACTGCACGCGTTTATGGAAAACCTATGGGTGCCATTAAAATGATAATCGGCTACTAACTACTAGGTAGCCATTTTAATAACCAAGAGCGTTCACGCAGTTAGAAGACAACTCTTCTACTTTAAGAGTTAGGTATCAAATAATAAAATTATTGTTATTATCAATAAAATATTAATATTAATTTTTTTGCCTCCGATATTTATTCACCTATAAGCGCTTTTGGTCTTTACGTTGGCAAACTGCTTTGTTAAAAATTATATTGCATGCAAAGTGTACATAATACGTTATTATTTTCAATATTTATTTAAAAAAATAAATATGTGCGTGAAATGTTTGGCATTTGGCTACGAAGAATTACAAAGAAACATTAATAATGATTGAATGTAAATAAATGTTCAGCTAAACATTAAGAAAAATTAATTAAATATTATATATCTTAAATTCTATAGGTATTATCTTTCTAAATTTATAATTTATAATCATTGGTAAAAAAAGATACATCATTAAAAATCATAAAATAAACACTAGACAGTTTAAGTCGATACTCACATAGGAATAGTTTTTAACGTTAAGCTCACAAATAGTTTTAAAAAAAAGTTTCATTTAATAAATTAATATTTTAAAATTAGAAATAATACTCTATGAATGTTATTAAATATTAGTAGGTACGTATCATAGTATTTCTAACATAAAACAGCATATTATTTAACAGTATGCATTTTGCAAACACGGATAATATAAATCATATTGTTACATATCGTCAGCCGTATGATGACTTATGTATACTTGTATCAATTTTAATTTAATATAGATGTGAATAGTTTATGTACCCTAACTCATAAAAATATTCAAGCCTACTGATAATGTGTGATTAATTTGTTCTATTAAATTCGAAATACCTGCTAAGATAGGTTTTGTATAACTTAATGCACACGTGAGAATTAAATTTAGTTGGTTGATAAAATAATGTTTAAAGGTACCTATAAAGATTAAGATGATCAACACATAAGGGTAAGATAAAAAAAACTGTAAATACATAGCTATTGTTCAAGATGTATGTATAAATATGCGTTCACAATATATATAAGATTTTCTGTTTGACACTTTCGTAGGTACAGTAAAATAAAAATATTATGTCATAATAATTGAAATAAGTCTTATGTGATAAATAAATATTATTATAGAAATCGTTATAAATTATAAATAATGAACAAGAGACGTAGATTAATTAAATTAACCATACCAAAACGTCCAGACTTTGAAAACACGCAAGTTTTCCCAATTCTAAATCTATAACTATCGATAACTTGAAATGCTATCTTAATTTACAATTCTCAATTAACTATAAAACTTTTCTTCAAAAGTCAGAATTGTGCAGTATAAATAAACCAGGTGACAACCACAGAGTATTAATTAACGGAAATACCGGGGTTGGATGTACTTAAAAACAACCAATACAAGTAGGACGGCCGTGGGTCGTAATTCTATGGGTAATGCATTTTGTACACGCCCATGAAGACAGTAAAAAATTGGCACCCTCGACGGATCAACCGAGAGTTTAAATTCATGGAATCGTAAATCCTGAAAAACATTTGACCGCGGTTTTCGTTATATTTCATACGGATTGACGTAGGTTATATTTGAGCACCTACTCGGGGCAAGACAAATTGACAAAAAAAAAAAAAAAAAAATGGTACTTTAACATGACGCACTATCCAGTGCAAGAGGGCCATATATCAAAAATATTAAATTGTTCAGGAGAGTATTTCTAATGTTTGATGATTTATAGTAGTTTGTAATTTTCTTCTGCTAAATATCAATATGACTAACTAAACCAGACATTTTCTAATAATATTGTTATTAACAAGTATAATTTAAAGGCCACATTTCGTATTACGGCTTTATTGTTTTCAGCTACCTCTCGATCTTTCTTAGTGCAATAAATTTATTTATATAACTGACGATTTAAAAATATAATTACATAGATGGCACTATTCTAAAAAAAAAAAAAAAGAAAAAATTACGAATTCAGAGATACCAAAAACGTAAATTTAAAATATGGCTCTCTTGCACTGATAGTGCGATAAAATTACTTACATCAAAAATATAGGTTTGAACGAAGGAACAAAATAATAACAATCAAATAAATAAAATAAAAGTTCTTTAAAGAACATTCCATCGCTCCCCCGTGGTCTCATCACAACCGAACAGTCACTACCACTCACCGGACCGGACAAGCCCGCTAGTCCCGCCGGGTGCGCACATTGACCGCGTCTCCCCGTGAAGTATCAACGACCGTTACGACATCGTACGTATTATATACTCACCGATGCGGCTGCGTTCATCGGGACGGACACGGGAACGGCCGTAGCGTTTGTCGGGGCCGTCGGCGAGGTCTCGGTGTTGACGGCCGTTGACTGTCCGTCCGGGTCGCAGCGCGCGAACGTGACGAGTGCCAGCAGCATGAACGTGGTGAGTCTTGCCCGGTGTTGTTCCATTTCGTTGAGTTTCCGTGCGCGGTAAGAGATGGACACGACGGGAATTTTGAAGGAAACGTACGAGGTTTGCTCGCGTACGATGAACAATGGGCGAGATGCGAACGGGGAACGGGCAGGGTACAGTAGTGAGAGAGTTGTTCGGTGGAACGACGAGTTGGCTCCGCTGCGTGTTGGTACGTGCTTCGAAAACCGGCGTCTGTCTGCGTAAAAGAAAGGAAAAAAAACCGGGCATGCCGATGGGACGCCGCGCTTTTCGGAACGCATCGGCCGGTGGGGGAAACGTACGGGTGCGCGCGCGTCCGTCGCGACGTCTGGCGACCGAAACCGGTACGACGTTTGCCCGGCGGGGCTCGGGGAAATCGTGTGACCGCCGAAATTTGAAAATTTCCTTGAAACAATAACGACGAAATCGTGTTCTCGTACTAGCTGCGACCGGTGGCGCAACTGGAGCCAAAGCGTTGGGCATGCTGAAATTGCCGAAAATAAAATCGATGGTACTTCAATGCAATTATTACTGATGGACATAAAAAATAAAAACCAGGCGTTCGAAATTTAAACTCGGTGATGTTTAAGACCTTATAACGTCTGTGGTGTTGTGACTACTGGCCAATCCGCCAAACTTCGAAGATATCTCGCAACCGTTAAATTGTTACAGAAAATTAACAGATCAATGAGTTTCCCTGTGTATACAACGCAATCTGGTCAATAGAAAATAACTCTGACAGAATGGAGGATATATATGGAAACAATGCTAGGAAGAAGGTAATGCAAAAAATAGACACTTGATAAGTTACCCAACTCAAAAAGTTCCAGGGTCAGGAACCGTTTTGAATGTTAACGTTTTTTATAGATCACCAACGGTGTTTTCATAAGGAGGGAAGAGTTAAATTTCAACATTTCGATAAACTTAAAAATATAATAAATTGCTTATACATTTTTGTTTCGTCTAATTTTTATTATTTTTATTTCGACCAATTGAAACAAAATATAATTAATACTATTCAATTTGATTGATATATTCTAAGAGTGCTTGTATAGTGATTATATTATTTACCTCTTGTGTCGAAATCTTGAGATAATATTTTGCATTTTTTGAACGTAGAAAACGTTCCTTGTTATATGTATAGGTACATAACAATAAAATTTGTAATAATTTACTCACACTCAAGTAAATATAAGACATAAGTACTCCAAAATGAAATCCAACTGCACACATTTTCAATTGAATCCCTTTTGACAATTTATTATTCAATATAATATAATTTATAATGCAAGAATTTTTCTATTTTGATACATATATATATCCATACAGGTCTGCCTTTATATATTTTCCGCTCTAAACCATAAATTATATTGTTGCTTTTTATTAAAGATATTACCAATCGCAATTATAATTTGTTGTAATCGTTGGCAGTCACAGTGAGCTATTGGAGCTAATACGATAATAGTAAAGACGCTTTACAGTAATTATTGTCGTCTGCTGTCGATATTTATCTAATTTTGTCGCTTCAATTTTTTTTAAATTTTACGCCGTCCATGTATACATGAAATATTTATAATACAATAGAGGAATATAATAATGTTGCCCTTCCAGTGAGAACAGGGGAGTTAAATTATGCTTGTATCGTGCAAGGGGGTACGAACTAAAAAAATATCAAATATGAAATTTCAATTATTAGCATTTGCATAACATGTTTATATATTTTTTTTATAAATATTGCATTGTAATTTATAATTAACATCTGTAATATTAGTTGCTTACAAATCGAGCGTTTTATAAGTAATAATATTATTTTTAGTAGGGTGAAAATTGCATTGATCCTTAAAAACAATAATTTTAAAATTATTGTTTTTAAGGATCAATGTAGTTTTTAAGTCAATCATTTAATAGAGAATTCCTTTATCCATTAACAAATAATTTCACGAAATTGCCTATACTACGAAAGTAACTTACTTTACCCTACTTATAACCTACACACTGTAAAATTCAAAGTAATACATACATGTCTATAATATATAAACAAATAATTACATATGTCTATATTATATTACCTATTTTAAATTAATATACTGTAATTATGTTATCATTACTAAGTATTAATTTAAGTTAGTAAGATTTTTTACATGAAATATAATAAATCAAATTTAAATTCTATACATATTGTTCATTTGAACAATATAATCCATTCATAAAATATTTTCTATGTATTTATTATTTCTCAATTTTAATTAGAAATTGTAAACAATACGATCTATAATAATAACACAGTAGTTATTTATTTATAATGCTATGTTTATTTTTGAGCTTAGAATTTTGGCTAAAACCTGCTAAGCTAGCAGAGTTGATAATGTGCAAATGTATTGAATAGGTAATAACTAATAATGAATAAGGAAAAATAATAAGTAATGGAATATTTGCAACATGTTTATATATTATACAACTAGGCATATGGGCTGTTTGTTAATAAATTAGAAAAACAAGAAGGTATTATACATTATTCAATTATGTTAATCAAAACAAAAAACACCAACTATTTAACGTCAACGTTTTATATACTCATAAGAATAATTTATGTGATAATATACGATTATATATGAACATTTGTATAGAACAAAAGTATGTTGTTAATATGTTACAAAATCAGGATTTTCCTACATCTAATTAAAAGTTGAAATGAATTAAATTAATGATATTTTTATAATGAAAAATAAAATTATAAAATTAATTATTGTTTTAAATGGTGACAAAAAGTAACTTAAATTATTTACTTATATTGTAATAAATATAGTCTTTCATTAATATAATATAGTATTTACTTTTCAATATAGTATATTTTATGACAAAATATTTTCATGCTAAAAAATTCTATAATCTATACTTACAATTATCTAAAATAATCCGTTTCAATAAAATGCATTCCCAACTACTTGAAAATTAATTGTATTTGTTATAAGTACGTACCTTATAAAATACAACACAAACATTTCATCATGGAAAAATATATTTTTATTATGCTTATAATTGAACTCATTGTAAAAATATTCAAAGTATTGTTAAAACTTCACGATAAGTTTGAACTTTTACATTTTATAAGATTAAAAGATAATCGAAAAAAGTCATTAGATAAAAATCAAAAATGTTTGAACAATTAAATATCGTTATAAAGTTGAAACTCTTTTTAACATTTCTATATAGGTAGCTATCATAATTGTACTTACAATTTAGAATAATTAATAATTATTAAAATATTTTTGAAATTTTAACAATAATTATTAATTATACAGAACAACTTGTATAATCATTGGCATAATTAGCGAATAAAAAATTAACTGGTGATAATCATTGATAAGCGCCATTTAATTGTGCTTGTAGTTTATGTTTATATATAGTTGTATGCATTATGCACTTTGTAGTACATTTTAGTACAGAATTTTTAAAAAAAAAATATAAAAATTCAAAACTAATAAATAGCTGCACATAATGTCATAATTTTTGTGTAAGTAATAATCCAAAATAAAAAATTATTCAAATAATGTAACATATTTTATGTGCCGAAACAGAATACTATGAAAAATTAAGTCTATAACTTATCATTTCATTAATTATTCAGTCTTACTTGTCGCTAAACATTTGTATCATTAATACATTTTTTTTTCTTTACCCGTATTTTTCTTTAAATTTACAAATATAAGTAAAAGATAAAATATACAGTAAAAATGATACTTACAAAACGAAATACGAATGCTAAATAATATGTAATGATTATGTTTTAACCTTCTCAACCTCAAAGCTCTTAAATTAACGTATTATATTTTAAAGTGTAATATATGTCACCATGTACAATACATATACATATTGTAGTCATACACTAGTACCTAATAAATGTAATTAATTCTAATTATACATTAGTAATAAATGTATTACATAATCATACTTAAAATAGCATTTAATCAAATTAATATTAATCAATTATATACATTTGGAGAAAACCAAGATTGCATTTGAGTCACAATCATAGTACATAATATTCAAAATCTTATCTTATACCTAATATCATTATAATATCTTTCAATTATTTAATAAATAATAACTAATAACTATTGATTAATAAATAATATTTATTAATCATTAGTTATTAATCATTAGATATATGTCTCTTGATTATCACACATTAGATAATTTTAATGAATCATAATATATTATCAATTAATTGTTTTTAATAAAAAATCTGTTAAGAAGAAAACACACGAAGAGATTATTATAAGTAACTCCTGTGCACGTCAAGAACATACTTCACATCGTACCAACAAGATACAGACATATCTCCATGTGTATTTCTTTTTTGACATACCATTATATAAAATAAAGTCTATTGTTTTTATTTTTTTAATCAAACTATTATTCCCTGAGAAATCAAAGAATAGAACTTATAAAAATATTCTACTAATACAGACGGTAATAAAGTAAGAATATAAAGCATAATTAATATTCACCGTCCACTTTACATTTCTTATTAAAGGATAAGATAATAGAATATTTAGCCTAACATAGATGGTTCACTTCAGATAATTTTGGTTAATATTTTATTACAAAAGTAACGATTTCATTAGTTTTTGACCGTCCTAGAACTTAAATAATTTTTTAAGATCTAATGAACTTATATAGTGGAATACAAAACCATAGTTTATGAATTTATATATGTACACTTTTGAAAAACTTATTTACCTTAGAAAAAAATTAAAATATGTCACTGAAATATTGTAATAAATTATCACCCTTTAAAAACAATCTTAATAAAAAAAAATAGAAAAATACTTCTCAAAAATACCATATGAACCTTAATTTCCAATTATATACAACTGTACTGGATTAATTAATTAATTAACGTATTTCTGAATCCAATGCATCCATTATTTTTTAATGTTTTAATATAATGGCAATTATATAACATTATTAATGAATATAATTAAAATGACCCTAAAAATTGATATTCTGCTATAAAAAATCTTGATTTTTCTAACATAAAAATTCCCAAAATTATACAATGTATCACTAGGCAGCAGCACATACAATACCCAGAGTAATATACAGCAAGTGCAATACACATTCGATATGAGCATATATACTTTGTCCACATTTCTTTAACGAACTGGATGATCCAGTTTTTTGTCAACTCAAAAACGCATGCGCCATGAACTCTTTTTTCTGTTCCTAT